ATTCCTGGCTTGCATCAGGGGAGAACACAGTAACACAGGTGAGGTCACAGGCTAACCTGATGTTGCTTTTCAGCTAAAAGCTTTAAACCTGTTCCTGATGCATGTTTTAAGCAAATCACATATTCATTATCTTAACTGAAAGGAGTGTCATCAACCAGGAACACATGCCATGGGCAAACTCCTGGCCCGTGTCGCGTGCACGTGCCATGGAAGCTGACGGTTATTCTGCACACAAACAGAAATGCGTTCTCACTTCCCAAGGGTTATTAGAAATACTGCATCATAACTGCAAACCTCATTTTTAGTCAGGTTTACCCACTGCATAATGCCACTGAAGGCAATGCAATACAGGCTCTCCCACAGACGCAAATGAGGCCAATCTTTGCAGTGAAGTTTAGCCTGAAAGCGGCTGCTGGAGTTCCCCGGGAAGCACCACCCCGCTGGGCTGAGCACCAGTGACAGGGAATAACCCTTTTATGGACACTGCCAGGAACAGAGGCACCATCCTGGAAGGGCTGGGAATAGCCCTTCCTATCTCTGTCCAATTACAACTATGCTAAGTTATTTTTGTTTCAGGAGAGATGCCAGAAAATAAAAAAAACATTGGCAGCCACTGTGGGAGCATGTTCATGGCCTCTCCTTGCATGAGAATTTTTTTCTTTTTTCGCTTTCATGCAGGTCAGCAAGTACTGAATTTGGGTATAATAAAGCAAAACTAAGCCAAAGACAAATTTATAACCAGTACTCACAGGTGTGTGAATACTTGCAGGATTAATACTTAGAGCGCACGAAGCCATCTGAAAAAACAGGTTTCCCCAGGCCACATTAGAACCTGTGTGCTATCTCCAGCCATTTCCTACAAGGCATACCAACGCATGAGTGCACAGCAGAGTTAATGCCTCTTTCCCCAGGCCAGCCCTTTCCTTACTCTCCAGCAACAAGCAGAGGAGCTAAGCCGGGTGTCTGGGGTTGCAAACTCCCAGCGGTTCTGCAAAGAGCTTTCAGTCCATCTGTTGTGGCACGAAATGGATGGGATGACACCATGCAAGTCAGAAGGCAAGAAACCTGAGTGCACTAACGGGCAGCGGCTGGTGCTGCAGTAAAAGGCTGAGGTTGGCAGTGGAGGCTGCAAGCGGGTCGGCTCTTACCTGACCACCTGCAAAAATGACAGGGGTGGAGGCGGGCTTTGGGCGGTAGGGAATGGTGGCACCTTTTGGTGGGGACTAGGAAAAGGGACAAGGAGAGGGAGAGAGAACATTAGAACAGCTTTCCTGAAACAACGGCAAAAAGAGTGTTAGAAAGCACCCGACGGAGCACGGGCCACCACGCGCGAGCAACACCCACAGCAGGTGAACAGTGTTTCTAGACAGGAGGACACGTGGGAAACTGTCGGTTAGTGGAGAAAAGGACATCCTTGCATGTGGGAATTCCCTTGCCAGCGCATAGCACCCCATAACACTCCCTTGAGCTCAGCTTTTTCCCTCACTTTTGTTCTCTGTAAACTGTTGCTCATAGTCTAGACTTGAGGCTTCCTCCAAATTCCCTGTAGAGACCCCAAAGGTGCCAGAAAGCTTTGTTTTTACTGCTTGGTTCGGTTTTGGCTATCCAAGTTGGCACATGCCTTGCTTCGTAACGAACACTGCAAAGTGCTGTCACCACAACCAAGGCCCCCTGTGCCCCACGGACGCCAGTTCGAGCAGCAGTGATTGCTTTGGCCAGAGTGCCAAGCTCTGGAAGGCGCTCCACTCGCTAGGGCAAGGGGGTAATTTGTGTCCTGCAAGAGGCTGGAAACAACCCTCAGATGGTAACAACGACGTTTCCAGAGATCTTATTCTAATACTGCGCACTGGAAACTCCTTATTCAACTCAGCAGACAGATAACAACAGCACGGGCACTAAACTATATTTTTTCACGCTCCCTTCTCCTCTGGCAAAGTGCCTTGGGGCAGCACCGCTCTTGTTTGCCAGGACGTTCTCCTCTGATGCTGTAGCCTGATCTGCCTGTGGATAAGTCACAGCAGAAGTTGTAGTCCACATGTCCAACGTCTGCACGATGCACTATATCTTCTCACTGAAGTTCTCTCTGTGTCCGTTTTCTCCTAAAAGGGAGATTTCAGAGCAAGTCCTTCTGAATCTAACCATCAGTGAAACAGCTCGGTTATTACCAATATATAACAGTAGGCAGTATAAACTATGTTTATATTATTTTATGGGCAATTCCTTATTCTTCTACACATTAGCATATTCAAATCTTCATATTAAGTATTAGTGTGTAGTAAAGTTGTATGACCAAAGCACAGCACGTATAATCACAAATCTGTTTTTTCTTTCATTGTATTCCAAATCTTAGAGGTGCTGAGCAACAATTTTTCTGGTCAAGATAATTTATGACATAGCCGTTGTAAGGAGCAGGTGAACTCTTGGAGTAAGGAGCTCTGTGAACTGTTAAAGTCGAGGGACTCTCCAGATTTTAAACCGCAAGAAAATTCATGGGTTTTATTTTTCTTTCCCATTGCTGAGCCGGACAGAGGATCAGCAAGTCCTGTTTCGATTGGTGAGAACAAGTGCCACAGACTCTTTATGACACACCTACAAGCATCCGCTTGGGCAGGTCTGGAGTTCTGCTCATCTCTGTAGTCCACAGCATCACGTCGATTCCTGTCAGTACCCAAACGGCACAACTGAAATTGCACTTCTCTGGCAGTATAGCGTATTAGCGCGAGTGTGGCTACCAGCACTGGTCGATAACATACTAAACAGCAATTTCTTCTTGGCCATGCCCTGTTAACTAGAAGTTGCTTGTGTTTGGTTTTGTTTCATGTCCAGAAAGCCTTGGATTCCTCATTCGAAGCTCTTCCAGCAGTAAACGTCCTCCTACTTGCCATGAAAGGGGCAGTGACACGTGGGCTGGGTTGCACAGCAAAGCAGATGGGCTTGCTGTCCATCCACCTTTGGGCAGCGCTGCGAGGGGTAGCTGTCATTGTTTCATGTAGTTTCCTCTTTGACTTTCTCTCCTCCAAGGTGACACACATGGATTTGGGGCACGTAGCTGGGATTGTTCCTGGCCATAAGTCATTGATACAGCAGCATGTCTCTACCGCAGAGATCCTCAAGCGCTGCACATCAGCATTTCTCCCAGAAAACAGCACCCTGGTCACACATCTAGGCATCCTACTGTCCCCACGGGCCCTGTTTTCCACTAGCCTTTCTCAGCATATTTTCCTGCTCTGCCCTCCCTGGAGGCTCGGACCCCATGCCTGGGTTTTCTTTTCATGCCCTCAGCTCTCCTCCTTCTGCACTCTCCCAACCACAGCTACTCTCCTGGCTCCCTCAACCACAGAGAACGCGCTGGCCTCCTCTCAGTCATGGGTCAGCCCCAGCCGTGTAGGGCACCTGAAGCCTGTTTAGAGGAAGCCAATGCCCTAGGGTTTTACAGGATTTGATGCAGTCTCTATTTTCTTCCCACAGCATCCTCTATGCTGCTGTGACCACTAGGCTAAGGTTGTCAGAGCCTGCGTAGCCTCCTCTGAGAAACCTCGCTCCTGAAGCTAACCCGGCACTATGACACCAACAGTCTCCTTTTTGGCACCCTACCAAGCAGATTTCCAGCTCAGGACTCTAGAAATAATATACAAGCACGGGGGGGGGAAACACATGGAGTGGATTTTAAAATAAAGATACCAGGACATGAGAGTGCTCCAATAACAAGTGGTGAACAATAACAGAGACATGTTCCACAGCTTTCAGCGCTGTTGCAGTGGCAGGTGATTTTTTCCTATATACTTTACCCCCTTTGTTACAGACTGTACCTCCAGCATCACCACACAGATCTGTTTGACACACTGGATAATTGCGTCGGGTGTCCCCGAGATTGTCACCGCCCGCTCCGTGGAGTTGGGCAGCATGTCCCCCGCCACTTGAACCTGAGCACCTGTGGACTGGAGACAGAAAGAGAGAGAAGGAGAAGTCCCAAATCTGAACTGAGGCGGCTCAAGAATGGAAAAGCCCAATAGTCCCGTCCCTTGCAGCCATCTCCAGCTCCAGCACTTCACACCTCCAGCAAGATGCAACTGCCCTGTGCTAGGTCAGACACAGCACCCTGCCAGCACACAGCAGTCTGAGTGGTTACATGCTAGGCCCCGAGGAATGAAAACTGTGTCCTCCTATGTCAGCAGGACTGTCCTGGGAAGCAACATGGCTCGTGACGCTGGCTGCGTGAAGATCCCCCTTTCCAGGTCTCCTCCTTGGTTGCAAATCATATCTAAGGAGCTGTGATTATATGCAATAGGTAAAACAGATCTGATTTACCTCCCTGATTTCCTTAATCTTGGAGCCTCCTTTGCCGATCAGTGAGCCACACTGGCTAGCTGGCACGACCAGTCTCAGCGTCACCGGAGGTTTACTGGTAGCAGTGCTGTTGCTCATTGAGTTGGTTATGTCCTAGAGAAAGAAGGACACAACAAATCAGCCCTTCTTATCTGACCACATGCCAGTAAAGAGGTATCATATCCCCCAAACCCTGGCTGCTTTCTGCCCATAGCTGCTATACATGCTCATGCAGATACTCTACAGACAGCGTTGCCCTGTTTGGTGGTTTCTTCGGGGACTTCTTCCAGCATGACAGGGAGTGGGTTGGTTGGTGAACTCAAGGAGGAGGGGTAAGCAGAACTTCTGTCATTGCAACAGTGTCACTTGAGCCCTCTCTCCCCCGGCGCAGTCCCACTAAAACTTCTTGATTCACAAGCATCATAGGGTGATGCTGCAGCACAGCTCTAGCTTTTTCATAGGAAATTATAATCCTAAAGGGCTTCAAAAAGCAACCTGTTAAAGAACATCTGAAAATCCACAGCCACTTTGCTGTATTTCCGTTTGTGTAAATATGTTACAGCCAGGAAAGAGCCAGCCATCACTGCAATGATGAACTAAGTTATTTTGATCCTACAAACGTTTAGGAGATGTGTTTTCCCTCTGTCTTTCTAGATAGCCTGAAATTAACTGCAAGATCTCTGAGACAGTTCCCTGAAGCTCAGTTCTTGCTTAGCTATAGATGCCTGGACCAAGTAAAAGGTTTTGCACTGAGGGTTTTTGCGAGGTTGTAACCTAGTCCAGCCAGGCACAGATGGGCTGGAGATAACCAAGCCTATCTGCATGGCTGACCACTGCAGCAGGCACACTTTAGGTCTGCTAGCCCAGTGGACCATCTCAGATACACACAGACCTTTGCTCCTTTTCTTCTGCTCTGCTCTCCTGTGGGAAAGGGCTCACATTTCTCACCTCCTCAAATTTGTAAGCGATCATGGCGAAAGCCTTGAAGATGGCATCAGTAGGGCCTGTGATGGTCACAATTCGCTCTGGGCAGTTCCCCTCTGAGATGTTGATTCTTGCCCCGCTCTAGAAAGAAAAGGGCAGCCCTGAAATATTCACAGCCAAGCAGTCATTCAGGATGTGCAATCATTTCATCGGGTGTGATCCTGCTCAGGCCTGAGAAGGCTCAGTGCACAAAAGCAGAAGCTCAGAGAGCCCCAGGAGGCCTGGGAGCAGGTTGTTCCCTTAGTCTGTGGGCATCACCAGTCCCTGTCTTACAATAGCCTGCCTAATCTTAAAAACTCCCAGCAATTTAGATCCCACACCTACCCCCAATGGTGTATTCCAGTGCTGCCTTATCCCAACCCTCGGAAAGGGTTTCCAAATATCCGCTTTGAATCTCTCCCACTGCAATGCAAAACCACAAAACCAAGAAAAGATTGCTCATGGGAATACTGCTTTTAAAAAGAGTGTTCCTCACTGATATGATAACCCTTTGGTATCTAAAGACACAACAATCGTACACAAACTCACACATCTCGCAAGCAAGTTCATTTAACTGTTTCGTTAATATCAAGTTCTTGGCTCTAGCAAGTTCCCATTAAACGTAGTAGAAATTTGCTAGAGTATGCAGAGCAGAAAAATGGAAAAAAGAGCTCTGAGGACAGCTGAAATTTTACTGCTGTGCAGATTGCTTACTTTTCCTTACTTTAAGACTGAACCTGTGAGTAACTGCACATTATTTTATAGGGCAAATAACTGTCCATGCTCCCCTGCCCCCAGACAGAACAGCCCATCAGTCCTTCCAACTCCTCCCTGCTGGTCTTAGAAATTGTCTTATAGGTCAGTAGGTCAGGGTTGCTCACCTCCTCACGCATTTTCTTCACGGTCTCTCCTTTCTGAAATAAAAGACAAAAACACATGCCATTGTAAAAAGTCAAGCTGCACCTTCAAAGCAAGCCTTTCTGAATGCATTCAGACCTTTCTCTCAGGCTCGGTAGCACACAACCGAACGTTTCGGCAGTTCTCTGATGCCTGGCCCTCCGTTCCCATGTGATGCATTTTCTAGGTAGGCTAGTATAAACCCACCCCTTTGCAATCTGCTCCCATGTCTTTAACATACTGTAAAGACAAAACAGCTAACAATGCACAACTGTAGCTTCAGTCTTCCTTTCTGAATTTCCTATTAGGAGAAAAATAGCACGGAAAAACCTCAGAAATCTGCCAAATATTCAGAAAAGCTGACATGTCAGGGTGCTTTAGAAGGGCTGTTTTTCATCTAGTACCTAGAACAATCTAATATTTTTATATCCAGATAAAAAGCAGGTAAAACTATGAATCTTTCCAGGTCTGACAGGCTAAAGGAAAAATAAGGCACGAGCATAAGAAAGGAGAGAGAGGTTCTTGCAGCAAATCTTTGCCACCATAAACCTGCCTTTTAAAAATACTGGGAAACCAGTCCTTATATAGCCAGAATTTTCCAAAATACTGCAGCAAGCATCAATAGCACCATGGAAGAGTCTCCCATAAAGCTTTCTGCACAAGCTAAATGCTCTTTGGTGGTATTTAGAGGCAAGTACCATGGAATTTAAACTGTTTCCCATAACATTTCTTAATCTTTCTTAATGAATGTATTTAATTAACATATCAGGAGAACACGATCATAAGCATCTGCTTTAGCAACCACAGTGAAGCAGCTAAAAAATAGCACGAGGTAGATTTTGTTTTTTTTTTTAAAAGGGAAACACTTTTTGGTTTCTCTGTTGGTCTCCTAACGTTTCTATCACGAAAACATAGCGATAAGCTCATGCACAGGGAACATTTAAAGGGACATCTCAGAAAAAGATAGTTAGCGTCCATCAGAACACAGGGAGTAAACAGTGCAGGCAATTCAAGGAGTATCTAACTACATATTTAAAGACATCGTTACCTTTCCAATGATGCTCCCAACTTCCTAGAGAAAAAGGCAAACACAAAGGAAACGACATTACAAGATGTGAAGGTAATCCAGTCAAATCTTGTTTTAAAACAGAGACCTGGTGCGCACACTGAGCATCACTGTCGTGCGCTGTCCCTAGCTAAAGGACAGCAGGAGGGCTGATGGGGAAGTATCTGAGAAGGGCCATGAGCACCATGCTGTGGGGACTCTCAGCACAGCTGCAGCTCCTGCAGCAGATGCAAGAAAGGCGCGTGCCGCAACAGTAACCGGAAAGGGGGAGAGATGCAAACTTTAACAAAGGCCCCACTGAGGGTTTGTCCTTGTCCCCCTCTCCCCAGTTCTTGTTTTGCAGAGAAGAGTACCCAAAATTTTGACGTGCGATGGTGCCCCTCCAGCAAGGGCACGAGGTTGTGGGGATGCAAAACCGTTTGAGCAGGTGGCTTTGAAGCAGTCCAAGCGACTTGCCAAGAGGCCACGTAAGCAGAGGGAAGAGCCACTTGACAGCAGCTTGCACGCCCAGGCTGTCCTGGTGCCTCCTCAGGCCCACAGCAGCCTGGGGCTTCAGAGGCGCCAAGCAGGCTGGCAGGACCCAGGCACAGCTGAAATGGAGGCAGGAGAGGAAGCTGCTGCCTCCTTGACTCCCGCAAGGAAAACACCCTCTCCGAGCCAGACCCCTGTTACCTTGCCATGCATCAGCAGCCGGATCGTGAGGGTAACGTTCAGGCCACCTTCGGAGACCTTCGACTCCATTTCCTAACGAGGGACGGGAGACGCGCGTTAGCTGGGAGGGGAGCCCTGGTGCAGAATGACACAGCACCAGAACAGTATCACCTGCAAGGACAAAAAGGGAGAAAGGCTCAGTACCACCTATACAAACACTCCCCTGGTTTCTCTTTGTGGCTTTCCCACCCCTTTCTCTGCTGACCCAGCCATGAAAAGGTTGACCCTGGTGGAAAAGTAACCACCTTTCCTCCCTTTGCTGTCCCTCTCTCTACAGCAGGGAGAGTGAAACGAGCACAGGTTTTCTCTCAAAACAGGCAGTTTTCTTGATGCAGGATGGACCCTGCAGAGCAGCAGCGGGCACGCGAAAGCAGTGGCAGGAGGAGCTGCAGGGCGGATGTCACAGCCTGAGAGCATTCATCGGTGCACATCAGGCTGGCCATTTACTGCAGGCAACATGCTAGGTGCAAACCCAGAAACACTGCAGAGCTCTGCCACGGTTTGCCACCAGCTTTACCTAAAAGCCAAAGGCAGAAACAAAGTTTCAGGCGTCTTAAGTGAAACAGCCAGAGAGCTAGCCCAAACCCAGCCAGAGAGCTAGGCCAAACCCATGCGAACCTAAAGGAAGTCGTGTCCCAGCTGAGAGCATGGAAGCAGGAGCAGGGAGTCAGGGGAGCAGCTTGGCCAAAGACTGACTGTTGAATTACAACTTTAAAAGACCCAGGACACATATCTAGCAAACCCAAACTCACAGTTTCAAGGGCACTCAGAAAATCTGGACTGATGAGTTTTGGAAAAACTGATTCTTCACTAACTGGGAAACATATACCAGACCCAAAGAACAAGGAGCAGGAAGGACCAAGAGGATGTCCTGATTATCATGTTCCTGTGTTTCCATCCAGATTTTTGAGTGCTCCAGCTTGGGTACTGTGTCTGAGGAATAAATACGGTTCCCAACTATATGTGTTTTGCATGCTATTTAAAGAAACATCTGTAAGTTTTTCCAGGTGTTGCCATTTCCCTTTCCATTCCCTCTTTTTCCTCCTTTGACCTCTCTATCAGGAAAAATATCACTGGTATTTTGGAGACGGGACAAAAATCACAGCAAAGCAACAGATGCCCCTCCTTCTTTCCTGACACCTTACTTAATCCCTGAGCAAGGACCACATATATGAAATGTCTCTGCAGCTTATTGCATGAGGATACTGTGTAGGCAGTCCTGTCTCAGAAAAAGGTGCCACGATCCTCCTATGTGCAATGCCTTGAGATTTGCAGCATGCTGTTCCATGTTACTTAATCCCTCAGTATATTACTGATGGGATCCTTTTCGTCACAGTCATGTGTGGCATCTGGCATTTTCCTTTGCTCAAATGGGGACTTATGTGACCTAAAAAGACAAAAAAAAAAAAAAAAAACTCAGGAGAGCTGCTTCGGGAGCTAAAACCGTGCTCAAGTATTACTTCAATGCAAAGAGGAACATGGGATGTATAAGGAGTCAGCAATATACAAAGCATGGCTAGGAGGTGGGATTCATATAAAGCTTCCTCTTCCAATAGAGTCTCACAAAAACTCACTGGTAAAGAGGTTGTTTGTAACCTACTTATAAAAGCCAGTCTTGAGGTCACTGATTTTTGCGTGTTTTCCATTTGTAATATCCTCAAAAAAAAAAAAAAAGAAATGAAACAGGTTGAAGATATCAAGTTAAGGTATTGTCAAGATATTATTAAGGGAGAGAAGAAGGAGAATATCAGAAGGGAAGAAATAGATGCCCTTAGGGACCAGAGTAATGTAAACAGGCTGAAATGCAAAAGTACAAAATGCAAGAACAGTAACTTTCAGTTTCAAGACTGAGTACATTGCAGGCAAACAATAAAGGTAAATAAATAACTGGTTGTATTAGTCAACCCCAGGCTGACTCCCATGTATGGGAAGCAACCAGAAAAAGGACAAATGCAGTGGAAAAGGCAGAAATTTCTGGGTCTGCGCTACTATTTGCTCTATATGAAGCTGAAGTGATGTGGCAGGAGACAGAGTGCTTGTACCAAAAAGGTATACTCTGTGAAGCCTGGCTCTGCCCCTTGTCCCAGCGCAGTATGGCTCTTCTGCAGGGATATCCTGCACAAGGAGCAATCTAGCCCTGCCACAGGGGAAGAAATAATGGCATAACTCCACTACAGCCACCGACAAGCCCAATGCACGTAAATATAGGTGCACAGCTCCCTTTCCTGGCTGGTAAACATCTCTGATAAGCAGAAGGTAGAGGCTGTCCACAAATAAGGCATATCCTCAAGCAGGGACTGTTGTGGCTTCCGGAGGCAGTAACTGAAAGTCATCCTGCCACGCACACTATGCCCAGGGCTTCCATGTGCAATTTGCCTGATGATCGTGGCCTGGGCAGCGATGACCCAGGGTTGTCAGCCCAACAGCTAGGAGCAGACAGGCAGGTAAGAGCAGGATCCAGGAACAATTTGGGTTTTGCCACCAGGGTGAAGGACCCCAAAACTCAGCTGGTGGGAAGAGGTACTCTAATAATAGAGATACCATCCTGCAGCAACAGGACAGCCACAGCGCTTCCCCCTTCGCTCAGCACAAGGGCTAGTAGTCCCACATAGATGGGCTACAACTTGCCTTCTAAGAACTGGCCAGATTTGCCGTTTTGCTTTCACCAAGTGTACTACAGCGTAATCACTTATCACTGCAATTTCTATCATCCCTTGCTCCATATCCCTCACATGATGAGCTCTGAATCAGGCTGTTATGTAAATGTTTCCAATTGATTGAAAAAGTGGGTCATGTGTTAGCCAAATGCTCCTGGCTTTAAGGTTTATCAGCATTATTAAATTAAACACGCTTCATGCTCTAGCGAGCAGGAAAGCTTCATTGGCCTTTTCTTAATCATACTGGTGAAAGGTATGTCTTTTATATGGGAGTTCATAAACTCAACGGAAGTGATAGGAACAATAGGGCAGAGGCATTTACTCTATATACGTGCTTTCCCCGACATAGTTAATTCTTCATGGACAAAGAACAATTCTCCCCAAAATGCCATTTTGGGCGTTTCAAAGCATTTCCTGCCTGAAGAGAGACCCCTCTAATGCTCTTCCTCTTCACAGGGCCATCATATTCTGCTTATTTCAAAGAAGCTTTGAAATTGCTTCTTTGTCTTTCTCCTTGAAAGCCCTGAAGATACCATTACGTCCAGTCCAACGGATAAAATAGATAAGAGGCCCAGTTCTATCCCAGTGCAAAGCAGGTACGGCCCCACTGAAGCCAAAGATGCTGCATTAGGAGACAGAAGATCTGAGTTTGGCCATGAGGTAGAAGAAACATTCTAGCCAAGCAAGACTCTGCCGAGTATAACGCTCTGGCAAACACATACTGAGGACCAGAGCAACATCCTCCCAAGCATGGCCATCTTGGGAAACAGCCTTTACTGGTCTTTGGAACAGGTCTTTATCGCAGCAAGAGAAGCTCTGCACGGTAGAGATTGTGGTGCTCAACACGGATCTGCCCCAAAACAGTTAGGGAACATTTTCCAAACAGTGACTCTATTGCAGGAAAAGAGAGGCCTTTTAATTCCAGTTGTCTTTTGGGAGACTTCTCAGAGATTTAACCAATATTCGGAATGATCCCATTCTTCCCCTCTCTCAGCTTTGAGATTAAAAAAATATATATATTAAATCCTGGGAAATTTTCTTAATCTTTCAGGAATTTCCTGTGTCTGAAAAGGCAGCTCGGTCACAAGTGACATAAGAGAAAGGAAAACAAGAGAGAGAATGGAAAATGAGAACAATGGAAGGACTCTCCTCCCCACACATTGCTTTTTCTCCATATCAGTTTTTTGTACGCTAGATTGATCAGTTAAGTTAGTGCTCTTAGTTTTAGGCTTGCTAACACCTCAGAAATACTGAGATACTCCTGAATATCAAATAAAACCTTATTAAAAGAATACTGAATATTATGTACTAAAGACTATGACTATCTTCACAGTTATTTCACACTGACCAATCCTGGAGTAGGCATGTGAAGCAGAATAGAGGAGAGAGAAACTGAGCTCTGGGCTGGACTATATTATCCAGTTGGGTTTCCATATGAGAGCTGGATGGACACCTATCAGGATCCCGCACCCCATAGCCCCCATCTAACAGGGGGCCACAAGCAGCTTTTTGTGGGACACATTCAGCTGAGCCCTAGCAAACCCTGGGTCCACCCAGAGTCCTGGGGAGCACCATCTGGCTCTGTGGTTGCTGATGGCATTTTGAGTGCATGCATTTGTGTCATGTCAGAGTGCAGACAGCAGCAAGTCACCTCAAAAGGAGGGCTAGCTCCTGTCATTACAGCAGCTGAGCTGGAGACACACTTGTCTTGGAAATGCCTCCTTGGAACAGCATCCATATGCCTACACAGCTATATAGTAGTTTAGAGTATTTTGCTTTTCACTAAAATGCTATTTCATTTGCCTCCAGTCACTGGGGAGATTTTGAAAGAATCTCACATGGCTCTTTTCCTTCCTAAATACCTTGTCTCAATTGCTTTGCCCTAAGTTCAAAGCCAGCCTTATGTGAGCTGGGCGGGTGGACTAGAGACCTCAAGAGATACCTGCCCACCTGAATTAGTTGGCAAGTCCCAGTTCTTCCCAGAACGAATTTCAACTTTCTCCCCTGCAAAGCTGAGGAAAAAGGCTCTTCCTAGCTGTCCTGTGGTCTGTGCCTCTCTATCCCCAAGTCACACTACGCCAAGGAGGGGCAGGTGCCTTCCCTGTTCTCTGCCTCATGAAAAAGCAGGCAAAGCAGCCCACATCAAGCGAAAACATCCCCACCGCCCACCCTCCTTTGTCATGCCAGCCCTCCTCCTCGCGTGCATCCACTTCCATTCCCTGGGCACATTAGCCACACACGAGCGAGTCCTGCGGCACAGCATTGCATGCATCCGCTTTACAAGTGTTCAGTGGAGAGCCAAGGCATCTGCTGCTGATACCAGTGGGCACATCTGGGATCAGCTCCCCAGTGATAGCCACCTCCTCTCCTGGGA